AACTCACCCAAATGAGCGGAAGTACAATTAGCGTACACCCAACAAGTGTAAGCACACATCCAATGTAATCGACCACCAAAAGCTTCCTCCAATGAAGAGTCGGCACAGTCAGTAAAGGCCATACATCGTCGAGTCGGGTCTGCACTTACTTCCTGATATCTCCTCGAACTGGCTTCAGAGGCAGGATATAGTTGACCACAGCAATAGCGAATAGACCCAACGGAATGGTGAGCCAGAAACACCACTAGATCCGGGTGGATGAGCTGAGGCAAAACAATAAAGACAGTCGACTTACCCGCCAGCTGGCCTTCTGCGCCAGAGCACCTCCTATCATTGGTCCAATGGTATATCCCATCGCAGCAAATCCCCCCATGATTCCTTGATATTTTCCCCTTTACCAAAGAAGTCGATGAGGTCGAGAAAGATTATTTCAATGAAGTACCAGACCTATCACGAAGAGTGATGATATCTGTAACAATTATCTGTGCCAAGCTCAAAATTGCGCCTGTGGTTATCGGCACCACAGCTCCGATTTTTTTTTCAAATTTTACTCACCTCCACCCGAGCCTGCAATTCCACGAAACACGACAAGCTGCACGATACTCCTAGAAAGCCCCGCCGCAAAGTTTCCAATCATGAAAATCACCATAGCCGCCGTCAGCGTCACCTTCCTGCCAAAAATGTCGCTGAATCTTCCATATATTGGCTGAAAGGCCGTCGAGGTAAGCAAGTACGCTGAGGGGACCGAGGATACAATTGAACCAGCATTGAAGAAGATTGAGATGGTGGGTAGAGCTGTTGCGACAGAGACGGAATCGAGTGTGGATATGACAATGCAGACACCAAGACCTATAAATGTTGCCAGGATTTTCTTGAATGGTAGGAGGTTCGTTTGATCCGTGAGCTGGACTTCATTATGCTTGGACTTTCCCGGACGTTGAGAGTGGTTATTAGTTGTCGTTGTGGTATCTGTGGCCATGGCGGTATCCAAGTGAGGGGGTGTCTGAGTGCTGTATTCCGCCAGCATACTATAGCACTACTGAAGTGAAGTAGGAGATTCTTTCGGCCGGCGGATCTTACGATGCAATATGAATAAGTCAGCGAAGAATATTTAGTCTGGTCAAATCAGTTCCATTAAATGCTGGTTGACTCAGTCGTTTGGCTAGTTGTTTGAGTGGCTGGTGCCCGCCACCAACTATACCCAAACGTTGGTACCCAGATTAGTATAGTATAACCTACTGGGGCCCATGTTTTGCACAGCCCGAAACCAACCACCTCGTCTCAAACGCCAACAATGCATAGCCTACACAAGCTTACCTGCATGGTCGTACTCGGTGACGTTGGTTTCCAGGGATAGTTGATGGCGGCATTGATGGTCAACCGGCCGATAAGTTTTTATTTCGCACGTTAGAAATATTGGTTGGGAAGAGTGTGATGAGGGAAAGGGGTATTTAAACTATAATCTAGCTCTTGGTGTGAATATAAAAGTATAGACACAAAAGAGAGCGTTTGGGCGATTAGAGAGTGTGCGTGGGGCCTGGCGGAGAGGCTTCAGAATGAAGGCTTTTGAAGAGTCACGTGATAGCACGAGTGGCAGGAAGAAAGGTTTGGAAGCCGCTTCATGTGGAGAGTGACAAACCGCCAGGTCCGGAGCGAATGGGAAGCCAAAGGCAGGCCAACGGACAGGCCGAAGGGAGCCAAGTGGCTGTACCAAACACTAGGAAATAAAGGGTGTAGGAGGGCAGGAGCGTTAAAATTTCACTACACGAGCGAGGGGATGCACAAGTGAGTGAGAAGATAAGGGGGATAGTCCCTTCGAGAAACGACAAGGAAATTTTACTGTTTGTATGCGTATAGACGTAAAGAACCAATCAGACCGTGCTCGAACAACTTGTCCTGTGATGGGGAATGGGATTCCTCATCTGGGAATGTGGATTTGACTAGTCATGTGACTAGACCAGCTACTTGCCCGACCATATCCAACACGGCCCTGGTCGGGTTACATTAACCGAGAAAATGTTTGATAATACCAACAAACAGGTGGTTGGCGCCGATAGCAGAGCAAGACCCTGGTCATGGAGGTGTAGGGGCCTGTATCATTCAGGTGTGGGTGTACGGTGCGTGGGAAGTCCGAGGTTCATTTTCCCGTGCGAGCGTACGGGAAGTCCAGCGCTTGTCCACGTCACACCATATGCCGCGTCACGGACCACGCCATGTCACTTTTCGAGTCAAGTGAGTCGGGCGAGTCGGGCGAGTTGGGCGAGTTAGCAGAATGACTAGGCCTCTATTCAGGCGTGCAGCGATTAATAGGAAAAATGTAGAATAAAGCTATGAGGGGAGTACTAGCTATTCCTACGGTGTCATTTCCTGTACCATTGCTGTGAAAATATCCTATGCATTGGTCAACGAAAATCTAGGAGAGCCAATTGCCTCGTACACAGCTGAGGCAGCCCTGTGAAAATCTTCACTATACCAAGAGAGATACTGCTCGCGTGGTCCGACTTCCTCATCAGGAATCTTGCGCATGTCAGTTTGTGCTTCTTCAGGAATACGGGTTAGGCACAATGTTCCTCGAAATAAGGATGGATGGCGGAGTGCATCGGCAGGACTGTGACCGGATGGTGTTGTCTTGCGAGCTTGCTTTCGTATCCTATGATTGTTCCAATAATCGCGGAACCAATTAAGTTCTTCCTGAATGAGTGGGATGAATATCCAATAGAACAGATCACTATACTCATGGGTAAGTGGGTCTGTTTCCTGGGGGTGGGGCAGGCTTACTGGTGCATTGGATCATGTGCATGAAAATAATGTTCATGTTTACCAATCAGAATCGTGTCCTTCAAGTTAAAACCTGTCTTCTCGTGCAGCCACCGCCAAAGGCTTTCAATCACAGTGTTCCGTGTGCTTGGAATTGTGATGAAAGGGGGGAAAACTTCCATGTCAATTGTAGGGGCATAAAACTCTCTAAACAAAATCTGTAAACATGTGAATTGGCGAAATCACAGCAGACTGACCTGAAAATTGATTGGATTGTTGCCTGCCACCCAATCTCTGATCCCTTGTCAGTCGTTAATTGTAATGGTATGCCTTATGTGACTACATTTTAGTAATAATGGTTGTCATTGCAGATATGTGACTCACCATCTCACTCCTGGACCAAGTCAAGATAGAGATGCCCAACAGTGCCAGCTGTACAAGCATCAGGTACAGTACAGAACTTCAGGATCATACCAGACCATTTGTCCTTGTAAGTGTAGATTGGGATATTAAGATCTCCCATGTTGAGGGCTTGCTGGTTTAACTTTTCGTGTCCATCAGCAGATATCTCCTGAAATGGCCCAACTGAGGTAAGTGGTTTGCGATTGATTTTTCATCTCATATTCCCTGGTAGACAGTGGTTGAAACCCTCAGGTGCATGCTGTAGCATTATCGCATGAACTCTTTCTCTATAAATAGGTCTTAGTACACTTTCAACGGGGCCAACCTGGTTGCATGCTCACCTCAGGACAAGAATCAACTTGTTTTTGAGACTTTCTTTCAGTGCAACTGGACCTTTCATCTGGTTGGTATCACTTGTGATCTCCCTGACAACAGCTGCTTCAATCTCTTCCTGTGGAATCCCTGGCTTTCGAATGCTTGGTATGCCTAATCACTTCTGCAACTCAAAGAATGAGGACTGCCTTGATAAGTTTTGTGTACAAGGTGAGTGAGTTTATGGTTGCTCCCAAGATTAATACCATGATACTTACCCAATTTTGACATTAAATTTTATTTGGAAATGGACAAGCTTCTCCGGAACAGTGAGCGAATACTTGGTCAGTCCAAGAAGGAACTCATATAGCTCATCATCGGGTGGATCTATATATATATATATAATCAGTATCAATGGTAATTGGTTTGAACATTGAC